ACCACTTGCGATCAGAGAACTGGATTCAAGTCCTGGCTTTAACAGCTACAAACCATGTGGCTGGAGCAACACAGTATTGTCCCAGTATTGCCCATGGAAAAGCCCTGCTTTTCCCATTTGCCAAGTGAACAGGGATACAGCATAGCTCCTTAGCCTGGTGCCTGGCATGCAGACTGCTGACACCTGATCCCTTTTCAGAAGAAGCCTGGGGTCCTCTTATGCAGACCCCTGCCTCAGAAGGGTACTGAGCTCCCATCAAACACCAGATGCTCATCTGGGTGGTGGTGGTGGCGCATGCCTTTAACCCAGTACTCGGGAGGCAGAGGCAAGAGGATTTCTGTGAGTTTGAGGTCAGCCTGGTCTACAGAGCTAGTTCCAGGACAGGATCCAAAGCTACAGAGAAACTCTGTCTTGAAAAAAACAAACAAACAAACAAACAAACAAAAACAAAAGCCAGATTCTCATCCTCACGGACTCAGGTACTTACCTGATTCCGAAGCTGCTCATCTTCCTGGGTGGAAAACTCTGTCCGGCAGTGCAGAGGGACGTCCATCTCAGCCACAATCTCACCAATCCTGTGCTGCATGGCCACACACTCATCTTCTGTCAGGAATCCTTCCAAGAGCAGAAACCCATCCTCCTGGAACTGCAGGCAGAAACAAGACGCAGGATTCCCTCTGCCCTCTCCCATGCCTTATGACCCCTGTCTGACCTCAAACCTGAACCAAGCCCACTGTCCTGCTGCTGCTAGGTCCCCTGTCCTGGACATGGGTGTCTGGTTTTCAGTGAAGGGACAGTCAATATTGTTTGGTTTAAAGTGAGACCCCAGCCCTCTGACACCCCTACATCCAAAAAGTCTGGGATGATTGGAAGCATCATCCCAGCCCCTGCCATCCATCCTAAGTCCCCTCCCCCTGGGAGTTGCTTGGTTCGGACTCCACCTCTGGAAACACCCACCAAGCGCTGACTCCTCCCCAGGGAGGGTCAGGACCACTCCCACAAGCTATTTAGGCTGCGCCTAGAAAGGGGACACATGGTGGTCTCCTGGGTTTGTGTGGGCTCCTCTCCCCTTCTCCCCTCCATGCTGTTCCAGCCACCCGGGAGCGTGCTGCATGCATTAAAAGTGGGCATCTTTTGATTGGGTCTAATCTGGTCTGATTGGAATTATTTGTGCTCCTCTTAGGATCATTCCTAACGAATGTTGGCTGCTTGGATCTTAGCGATGAAAGGAAAGGGGATGTTGTCTCTGCTCTTGGCCTCCAATGGGTTAGGGACATATGGAAATAGAACTTTTTTTTTTGCTTATTTATGTGTAAACATGTCAGTGTGAGTACAATGTGTGTGTGTACTTGAAGGTGTGCACACTTGTGCATGCACAGGGACACCAGAAGAGGACATTGGGTGTCCTCCCCCACTACTTTCTCTATTCCTGAGGCAGGCGCTCTCCTTGAGCCTTGGCTCAAGTTTTCTTCAGGAGACTGCTAGCCTGTAAGCCCTAGCAACCCTGTCTCCACCCAGAGGCGGGCTAAGTGGGTGCTGAGAGTCCAACACTGGTCCCCATGATTGCACACGTGTTCTTAGCCACCCAGTCACCTCTCTAGCCCCCTTCTTTTGTTTGCTCATTTAATGCTTGTTTGTTTGAAGACAGGGTCTTTCTGTGCAGTCCAGCGAGGCCTCAAACTCAAGATCCTCCTGCCTCAGCCTCCTGAAAGCTGGCGTTAGAGGCGTGCACCACGTCTGACTATTCGAGTCTTAAGTAAACCTGCGTGCGTATGAGACAGGTTTAAGAGAGGCATGTGGTTATGAACAAGCCACCCTCACACGGTTTACAGTCCAGGGACAGAGACAACACATCACTCACTAATGTCAGGCAAATGCCCCACCCCACATTATGTTAAGTACAGGGGGAGAGGGGCTGGCTGTGAGAATTAAAAGTGGAGCCTAATGAGGTGAAGGGTCAAAGAGCAGCTCTGCCGGACTGCATTTAAAGGAAAGCACAGGATACTGGGAAGTAAAGAGATAGGAAAGATCACTGCGGACAGAAAATAGAATTGCAAAGCCTCTGGGCACTGGAAGAACCCAGGGTGAGCGGTGGGCTGGAGAGCAGGCTGGAAGAAGCCGGTGGAGGTGAGCACTGAACATGAGGGCTTATTCCCACCCCATGTAGCCCAGGTCTTTTTGTTTGGGGACTGTTGAGAGAGGTAAGGTGAGGATGAGCATCTGCAGGGCTGGGGTGCCGCTCAAAGTCGGCTGCTTGCCCATCATGTACATGGAAGACCCTGGCCTCCGTCCTCAGCATTGAAAAAAGAAAACAAAACTCGGGGTCAGAAAGCAAAGGTGAGCTGGCTGTGGTGACCCAGGCCTTTAATCCTAGGCGAGGAGGCAGATCTCGAGTTCAAGTCCAGCCTGGTCCACAGAATGAGTTCTAGGACAGCCAGAGCTACACAGAGAAACCCTGTCTCCAAAAACCAAAACCAAACAAACAAACAGCAAAAAACAGAGAAGTAAATAGGACCTGGCATGATGGCCTGTCCCACCTTCAATTCCAGCACTCAGGAAGTAGGGCAGATATATGGCATAGAGCTTGAGGCTAACCTGAACTAGCTAGATACAGAGCTAGTTCCAGGGCAGCCAGGGAGACAAAGAGAAACTCTGGGGAGGGCTATGTCCCTGGATTTTCTGTGAGACAGGAGAAAAGGACTGACTTTTAGTGCGTATTTAGGCACTGGGGCAACAGTGGCAGCTGTTATGAGACGTGTGTGTGTGTGTGTGTGTGTGTGTGTGTGTGTGTGTGTGTGTGAGATCTATCAGGGCTATCAGCATGGACTCGGCTACTAAGCTCCAACCACAGCTCCAGGCGGGACTTGATGGAAAACAGTAACAGTCTTGGCATATGAAGGCATGGGTGGATATTCGGAAGTGCGTGTACTCCAGCTCCTAACCCCTATATGGTAGGCTTTCACAATGGGTCTGCCCACTTCTAGCTTCTCTGCCTTCATCAACAGGCCCCCGGGGCTGGCTGGATTGGCTAATCTCAATTCTGGTTTCTCCACCCCCAATTCCTACCATATCCCATCTGGGGTGTGGGGTCAATGGTCTGTCAGCTTCAGGCTATGAACACAGAGTTAGGGTTTATGCATGGGGAACCTTCTCTCTTTGGTGAGGTATGAGGGTCACTAGAGGTCTGCACCCCCTCCCTTGTCTGACTCTCCCAGCCCCAGGCCCCTACCTTTTTGAGCTGTGAGGGACTCAGGCAGGCCATGGGGACTACTGCAGGACACCGCTGGCCCAGGGTGCTGACTCCAGGGCTGGATAGGGAAAAGTTCAGGGAGAGAGCCCATTGAGGAAGCTCAGAAGGGCTGAATTCTCATCTACCGGAAAAACAGTCCATCCCACAGTTCCGCCCTCCCGAACACACAGTCCAGTCTGTGCCTTCCACTCGAGGTCCAGTCCCGCCCCTTACCCCTCCCCCACCACTTCTGACCAGGGAAGTAGGCCTGATCTTTGCCCCAGACCAGCCTCCATTTAATCAGCGACTGGCCTTCACCTATTCCCCTCACAGGGCAGGCTCCCTTGGTCCCTCAGGTTTCTGCCTAGAATGCACTCCTGGGTGGCACAAGGAATTGCTCTTGTGTGGGGCAGGCAGAAGACTGCTCTGCTAGTCTGCTAAGCTAAGGCTGGAAAGTCCCTAGTCACAGGATCTAAATTTACCCTGAGGCAGGGTTTGTGGGACTGAGTGGCTTCGCCTTGTGAAGGCCTAAGAGATCCTAGGAAAATAACTTGGGGGGCTCCAGCTTTGATTTGAAGCCCTCTAGATGCTGGAAGAGCGGAGCAGTGCTGAGGGAAGGCAGATGAGGGGGTACCGGGCCTCAGAATGAGGGACGACTAGTCTACAGAGGGGTTGGCAGGAAAGTCAGAACCACCTGCTGGCTCTGCAGCTGGCAGGGACATTGGGCTCTGAAAAGTGGTCCACTGGCCTTCCCAGAAATGGTGCTTTGAACAGCCAAGGGACAGAAAGTCTCAGGAGCAAGGGGGGGGGGTACTGCTCAGCTGAGAGAGCTTTGGCTCCAGATCAAGTGTTTTCTGGACCATAACACTGGGAGCTACAGTTGTCTAGGCTGTACAGGCCTCAAGAAAGCCAGAGAGGGCTGTGCCCAGTGGACCCTAGGGCTGATGGGAATTCTCTCGGGTCAGGCTGGGGAAGGCCCTGGAGACAGAACTGCGAGTCACAGGGCAAGGCACACAGAACCAGTCCTTTCTGATGCAATCGCTGAGCAAAAACACCCAGTTCCAGGAACAAGGATCAGAGAGGGCCCCTACCGCTGAGCCAGCAGTGGCCTGGGGGCCTCACGAAAAGGCTGGGGGCAGGGGCTGGCCAGGCAGGCAGTGGGGGTCCAGCCCTTACTTTCTGAGGCTGGTGATAACAGAACCCAGTGAATAACAAGTACTAATCGTGGCTGATAAGGAGCCAGGCTGGCCTGGGGCTAACACCTAGGAAGTACCTCCCAACTGCTTCTCCCTCTGCTGGCAGAGTGGGGGTGAGGTGCTGATCTTGCTTTTTAAAACTATTTCTCAGTTCTCCAAGTTTTCTAAGTTGATTTTGTAAGTAGGGGTTAGGCCACCGCTGTGGTTTTAGGTAGAGTGTGGGGGCGGAGGGTGGGGGGTGGTAGAGGGGGGTAAGAAAGCTGCACTCTTTTCATTCCGCCGGCCTTGAGGGGAGGGTGGGCGGTATTTCCACATCATTTTTCCCCAGAAACTAACCAGTTCCAGACTGAATTCTCTGGGTCTGGGGCACTGGCCTGAACGTCTCTCAACCCCCATCCCTACCCCAGGGTGGAAACAGGGTGGGGCCAGGACCAGATTAGATCAGACCAGACAGGAAGGGAAGTTCCCGACCTGAAGGTAAGAAGAGGGTCTTTCTGTGAGTGGAACCCACTGTCCCCAACAGTCCACAAGGGCAGGGGTAGAGGGGGTTCTGGCTCAGGTCTGAGGGGTCAGTCTCCTGTGGAGCAAGGGAGACAGGCTCTAGTCAGTTCCAGAAGAACTGCCCAAGCAACTCAGGCCTCCTGAGATCACACTTTGGTCTCTTCCTCACCTAAAGACTCCTGGCGTCATCTCCCGACGTGCACTCGGTTCAGAAGGTAGGAGGAGACTGCTCACCGGGCAATGCTACGGCTTGAGCTTGTAACCCCTACATTCATCTATTAGAAACTTAACTCCACTTACTTTGAGTTTTGGTAAAGCGTCAAATGGCCCTCTCTGCTTGTTCCATAGGTCCGGCTGGCCACTCTACAGCCTGCACTGGCTTCATTCTCTGCAATCTGATTCATCTTCTAAACTTCTGAGATTGCAGCTGTGGCTGCGGTCATGGCTGCATCCAACAACCACAGGGAGGAAGTGTCTGGGTCCAGCCTCATGAATGGGTTAATGCCTCTCCTGGGAACAGGCTAGCCCTGAAGTTCCCAACTCCTGCGATGTTAGGAAGCAGCATGTACCCCTCACTGGGTACAGCCATCAGATCCTGGTCCTGTTCTAGTCTCTGCAACTGTGAACCCAGGTAAGCATTCCTCTACAGATCACCCAGGAGAGAGGAATATAGCTCAGTGGATTAAAAGAACACTTGCTCCGCTTGTCCAAGGCCTTGGGTTCCATTCCCAGCAACGCCTCCCCTGTCCTCCCCCAATCCATATACCATTGTTAGGTACTACAGCGACAGAGAATAGAAGTGGACTTTATATAACCATGGCTCCTTTAAACAAGCCTGTCTGTGCCAATATTACTCCAATTTTACAAATGAGGGAAAAAAATACTGGGGGTGGTGGGAAGAGAAACAAACAAAAAATTAAGGGAACTAGGGTCTCAGTAGAGTTGAGATGTGAAGGCAGTTCTACTTCTCAGAGCGTCTGTCCTTGATCCCAAAGGGGCTGGAATCCAGGCAGCCTCCCCCTGGTCACTGCCAGCCTTACTTTGCAGAACCATAGAACCATGCAGACTTGGGTATCACAACCCGAGGAATCTTCTGAAAGATGGACAGGCCCTCGGCACAGATGGGGATATGGAGGCCACACAGTGAGGAGATGGGCTTAGCTTCATGCACAGAACAACTGGGCTGGATGGAACAAGAACTTCTGGCTACTGGCTCCCATTCCAGATGACTCCCAGTCCCAAACAATCAAAGCTCATGAGGGCCCAAACAGGTGCCTGGGACAACAGAAAATGAACTGGTCACAAGACCTCCGGTCAGGAACCATGCCTGGAGCATCCAGCAACTGCCTCAAAGGTACTCTTAAGTTTCTCAGAGCAGAGGGGTGAGCAGAGAGCACCACTGTATGTAGATGCCCAATAAACAGTCCCTCAGCAGACTGGTCAACCAGGACCAAGATACCTCAGAAGTGAAGGGACAAATCGCGTCCTATGCACAGAGACCTGCAAAGGCAACTTTGTTATAGATTTATTTGATATTTGAACTGAGTCCACAAGTCAGACCCACGTGTAACGGATTGCTTCATGGTTGTCAGAGGCTAGTGTGCAGTGTTTCCAAGGGTTACATCCAATGACATGACGCAGAAAACACAAAGGGACAGAGACAGACATAACTGTTAAGACAAGAGACGCTAAAACGTGCCTTAGTGTCCATGTGATTGATCTAAGGCAAGGACCCTTCTAAAGTGGGGACCCTAGTGACTGATCTAAAGCTGAGTGGCTTACCACCACTAGGTGCTAACTGTACTGTGTGCAAACCAGGTGCCCAGTATGGAAGCTGCCCTCCCAGAGGTGACCTCTCCGCACCCAATCAGGACCAGATGGTGGCAGCCAATGTAAGCAGCAGCAGAGGCGAGTGGTGGCACTGAGCAAACCCACGACACACGATGTGGGGACAGTCTGGGGGAAGCAGCTGCTCGAGTCTCCTTAACACTGTGCATGAGTGGCATCATGGGGGTGGGGAGGAAGGGATGGAGCACCGGTACCCTGGGGATCAGCCAGCCCAAGTCTCCTCCCTTCTTGGCAGTTCCAGAGCCTTCCTTTTGGCTGACAGTCATGAAAAGGGTGTCTGCCAAGACCCATGGAGAAGAAAAATAACAAGACACACACACACACACACACACAAAACCCTAAAAGCAAACAAAAATAAAAGCCCTGCCTGCCCAGGAGAAGAGAAGAACAAACAGCTCCGCTGGACCAAGGTCAGGACAGATACGAAAACATCCTGGCCCACACCATAGGGACAGGAAGTTTCCTTCAATGTCTTGCTGCTTTGCTCAAGGGGAAATACCACCCATCCTGAGACTTCAACTCACTGGCCTTTAGTGTCTTTTTTTATTTTTAGGTTTTTTTTTTTTTTAATACCCAAACCATCATTTTCAAAGCTTAAAAAAAAATCAAAACAACAACAAAAAACCCTAAAATTGCTTCAAAAACTGATGGGGCAAGCCCCAGGCCTGACCCTTCCACCTGGAGGCCTGGTCTCCCACAAGCTTCACTGCCAGATCCTAGCCCTGTGCCAATAGGGTGACCGTCCTGCGGTTGGCTCTGCCTAAGTCTGGGTGGGCACTGTTTCTGTCAGCATCACCTGAAAGGAAAGGCAAACCCTGTAGGTCTCTTAAAAACTTCCCAGACCCAGACCTTCTTGGGAATGTATAAGTTATCTGGAGGGAGGAGATGGGAAGTGGCAAAATAAATACCCAAATCTAAGTTACTGTCCCTGGGCCTCTGGTGCCAGCTCAGCCCCAGAGGCAGAGACGGCCTCCAGGGTGAAGACCCTGATTGTCCAAATACTGTACTCGGAGACTAGTCTCAGAGTTTCCGGTCTCCAGCAAGTGCCTGCCCTGGGTGTATGAGTCCCAGAGGGAGAAAAGGGGCCAGCCCCTCACTCAGTTCCTGTCTTCTGTCCTGGCCCAGCTTATGCCTGGTCCAGGTTCTGCATGGCTGAACCTGGCTGGACCCGGCTGGCTGTCCAGCAGTCCTGGGAGAACTGAACTGCCCACTTGGCCTGAGGGCACGCTGAGGGTCCTTGCTGCTCCTCCAGGCTCTGCTCAGGCCTGCTCCTTATCAGCTCTCCATAGCCGGTCCTTCACCTCTGGCGGCAGCGTGCTGAACAAGTCCTCCTCCACCACCAGGCCACTGCGTTTGAGCAGTGGGCACTCGCCCAGCTCCACGGGTAGGCACTCCAGTCGGTTGCCCCGAAGCTCAATCTGCGTCAGGTTGGTCAGCTCACCCACTCTCGAGGGCAGAGACTGCAGTACATTGTTGCCCAGGTGCAGAGCCCGCAGCTTCCGGCACTGGAAGAGTTCTGGGGGGAGTGCCTCAATCTGCAGGAGGGAGCAAAGGGCCAGGGTGAGGTGTATGGCTGGACAGTGTCTTTGGGCTTTCCACATACAAACCTGGTCAAGAGCTACCCATACACAGGTATTACCTTTGCAGTGACTTCCTCCAGGAAGCTATCCTGACTTCCTGAGTCCTACAACATTCATAATGCTAATCCTTTCGTCCGTCATCTCCTGAACTGCGGGCTCTAAGTGTGCAGGGTAGGTCTAGCCAGGCCTATCAAGCAGGCAGTTACTGCCTACCCCACTCACCTTCACATTCCTGGGCAATGAGAATCCCAGCTAGACCACTGCTTCTCCCAGGACACGCCTTCCTTACCTGTCAGGTCCCACGGTAACAGGAGTGCAGGGGCCCAGTAGTGAGCATTTGGCACTCCTGTTTGCAGCTTACCACAATATGAGCTCACTCAGCACAGATACTGGTTTTTTTTTTTTAAAGATTACCTTCTTTTTGTTTGGTGTGTGTGTGAATTTCCCACTGTGTGAATCTCTGGGATCAAGTTCAGGTATCAGGTTTGATAGAAGATGCTGTTCTCACTGAGCTATCTTTTTAATTTGTTTTCATGTGTGTGGCTGTTTTGCCAGCATGTATGTCTGTATACCACATGAGTGCAGTGACCACAGGAGCCTGAAGAGGGCATCAGGTCACCTGGATTTGGAGTTACAGTTATTAGCCATCATGTGGATGTTGAGAATTGAACCTGCGTCCTCTGAAGAGCATCAAGTGCTCTTAACATCAGAGCCATCTTTCTATTCCAACATATCCTTATTTTTATGTGTTTGAGTCCTTGCCTGCATGTATGCATGGATGTACACCCACGTGCATGCCTAGTGCTTGTGCATCTCTAGCTCTCAGCACAGGCACTGCTTTCCCACTCAGTGTTCGAAACCACCAGCTAGTGCTCTGAGAATGTTTCTGTTATACAGACAGACAACAGAAGGCTGACGATAAGAACTTGTCCTGGAGTTCAGCAGGTAAGAGGTGATGCCACGATTTGAATCTGGTACAATAGCGATGCTGGGACTAGAGAGATGGCTCTGAGGTAAAGAACACAGGCTGTTCTTCCAGAGGTCCTGAGTTCAATTCCCAGCACCCACATGGTGGCTCACAACCATCTGTAATGAGATCTGTGCCCTCCTCTGGCTTGTAGGCTATGCAAGTAGAACACTGTATACATAAAGATTTATTTATTTATTTAGTATACAACATTCTGCCTCCATGTATACCTGCACGCCAGAGGAGGGCACCAGATCTCATTGCAAATGACTGTGAGCCACCATGTGGTTGTTGGGAATTGAACTCAGGACCTCTGGAAGAGCAGCCAGTACTCTTAAACACTGAGCCATCTCTCCAGCCCCCTAAATAAATAAGTCTTAAAAAAAAAAAATAGCAAAGCTGTTGACTATACACAGCAATGGGTGAGCAAGGGGCAAACCACAGAGCTACATTAGAGCCATCCCAGGTGTCCTGGGCATGCAGGAAGAGCCAAGGACTGCCAGCCTCTCCCCTGCCCTTCTGTGGCAATCAGCTAGAGACAAGGGTCTTTACCACACCCGACTGAAAACTGCCAGCTTCAGAAGAATGGGCAGGTGGGGAGTTAGGCTGTACTCCCAAGCAGGGACTCTCTACTCTCAGGGACTTCGCCACTGTTCCTATTTTCCTGCAAAGGAGAGGTGACACACCCTACCCTGTCAGAGGGTGCATGGCCACTTTTGTGAGAGGATACAAGCTTTGCTTTTTGCCACCCCTCACATGGGAACCACATTCTCATTTTGTCAAACACAACCCTCTGTTATGCCATAGCATCAGGGAAGCCTCTTGCTCTCTTGAGCCTCAGTTTCCCCATTCTTTTTGTTGTTTGGTTGGCTGATTTTTGGTTTTTCGAGGCAGGGTTTCTCTGTGTAGCCCAGCTGTCCTGGAACTCACTCTGTAGACCAAGCTGACTTCAAAATCACAAAGATCTATCTGCCTACCTCTACTGGTAGGTAGCGTTGGTATTGAAGGTGTGTGCCACCTTTACCTGGCCCAGTTTCCCCATTTTTTAACATAAAGCTTGAACTAGGAATACTTCTCACCTCCAGCATTCCTAACTCAGGACCGTTTCTCAGTTTTGGAGCTAAACCTCTGAGGTTTTGGTTCCTAATAAACAACTCAGTTTTCTCGGCAGGAAAATGGGCGTGGCCTCAGTCTCAGAGTCACCTTAACAAGGGGTTACAGTGACTTATTCAAGGAGACGTCTGATCTGGGTATCCAAACCTTCCTCTGCTACGGCCAGGGTCAGGGATGGGGTAAGGATCTGAAGTGCAGGGATACGAAAGTCAAGGGTAGATGGGAAGTGGGCCCTGCAGGACCCAGGGACCAGAGCCTTCCCAGAATAGCCACAGTGCCTTCCTGCCCCCATCACCACCACCACCACACACATCCTGTGACCTCCTCTAATGATACAGTCAAGGGCAGTAGAGATGGTTCTGGCAGTGAGTGGTACAGACGGGGACACTCAGAGTTAGTCGGTGCTTCCTGAGATCCCTTCTTCAACGTCCCCTCCCCAGAACCTCACCACTACCACTCTGCCATCAAACACTCTGTAGGCCTCAGAGAAAAGTGCAGGTACTTCTGGTAGCTTGGCCACAGCCACACCTAACCTTCAGAGCTGTCCCTAGTTCACTGAAGGCTTAAAGTTCTTTCCAGTCACCCTGAATCCCATCTACACTGCCTTTTCAGAGACCTCAGTGGCTCCCTGATTAGCGTAGAAATGGCCTCAGGTCGACTTGGTCTTCAGCCAAGATGGCCCTCAGAAGCTTCCAGTCTGCTCCCTCCTGCACGGCTCCTCAACACCCCTGGAAAGGCACTACTCTGAGCTCACGTAAGCCAGCCTCTACCCTGCTGCCCTGTCACAAGCCAGATTCACATCTGTCCTTTCACTGACTCCCCATGGACATGGAGCCATGTGCTCCGACCTGACCTTACTTTTCACCTCACAGGAGCACAGCAAGGACAACTCTGAAAGTCTCAGGACAATTCATTCAGGGTCCAACACAGGATGCTCTCAGGTCCTGAGACCTCCCTCACACCCCTGCCCCAACGGAGGACTCATTCTTACTGCAGTCCCTAGCAGCCTTGTCCAATCCAAGCCTTTCACCTCACGGCCTACCCTACTGTAGTCTCAAGTCCAGGAGGACCCTGCCTGTCTGCAATTGGTCCAAGCACATTTTTTTCCTATAAAAGGCCTCTCTCTGGGTACTCCCGGGGGTGAGGACAGGATGTGATTAAGCAATGTGCTAAGCAGGGTGTCAGAGGGTCTCCTTCCTCTAGTACAGGACAACATGCCTCCGCCAGCTCCGTTCCTAAGGGGTGACCTCAGCTAATAGGCACGATACTAACAGGCAAGCCTATCTGAGAATCTGGGGGTAGGGGTCGAGATAAGGCAAGGCTGAAAGCTGGCTCACACCTTCCTGTAGGAGTCTGGCCCAGCAGACACTTCAGAGTGAGGGATGGAGAGTCCACCCCAATGTCCTGGAGTGACCAGACTCCAACATTATGCCACAGGGAGCCACTTGGTACCCCCCCCCAACACATATTAAAGAAGGGATTGGCCTGTTTGGTTTTTGTTTTATTTCTGTTTTTGCCTTTTTTCCCCCTTCATGAATCTCTAATTCCTCTTTTCAATGGGTCTCACTATAGTGAAAACCAGAGGTGGACTCGTCATCCTTGACTCTCCAATATACATAAGCCATGGCTGGGGGAGGGAAATAAAGATCGTCCCAATCCCAATCCCTCTGACATGGAGGATCAGGAGGACCTGCACTAGAGGTGCCTAGGAACCTAAGCTACCAGCAGTCTGTGCCGTGCAGAGGCGAGACAGATCTACTGTCCTCCAAGTCTGCGGCTGGTAGACAGAGCTCCTGGGAACAGAAGGCTGAGGTGTCTTCACACCTGTTCAAGGTCACAACCCCATGCTAGAGCCAGCAGAACTCACTTAAAGGACCTTTGTAATGGAGGCACTGAGGTGGTGGCTGAATCAGTGCTCAGTCTCCTGATCCCTAGCCTCAGGCTCCCCGTCTTTTTTTTTTTTTTAATATTTATTTATTATGTATACAGTATTCTATCTGTGTGTATGCCTGCAGGCCAGAAGAGGGCACCAGACCTCATTACAGATGGTTGTGAGCCACCATGTGGTTGCTGGGAATTGAACTCAGGACCTTTGGAAGAGCAGGCAATGCTCTTAACCTCTGAGCCATCTCTCCAGCCCCCTAAATTTTTCCTTTTTATGTGGGTGTGAATGTGTGGGTAAGCGTGCACGTGCCAAGGAGGAATTGAGGGGAGAAACCTCCAGTCATCGGGCCTGGGATGGCGTGTGAGCCATCTTGCAGAGCCAGCAGCTCGTTTATAGTCTGCTGTTCCACAGATGAGGAAACTGAGGCTCACAGGAGTTAACTGCCCTCAGACTCCCACAGCTCCTAAGTGGCAAAGCCACCACGTGGTTGCTGGGAATTGAACTCTGGGCCTTTGGAAGAGCAGGCAATGCTCTTAACCACTGAGCCATCTCTCCAGCCCCCTAGACTCCCCGTCTTTTACAGGAAGACATCCTGAAGGCCCTGAGTACAAGGAACCTCTCACCCAACATCCAGTGGCTCCAGCTTGGTTTTCCTCTAGGAGGTCAGACCACAAGCTACAGAAGTGCCCTGCCCTTAACCCCAATCTAACTGGCCCATTACCTTTTGGTGGAGCTTTCCAGTCATACAAAGAGTTGGTACACAGGGGCCACCTACAGTTTCAATGCTAGGCCCCAGTGGTTTGTACACTTTCTTCTCTAGAAAAGCAGGTAGGGGACAAGCTGTTCCACCTAAGCCCAACTTTTCCCTCCACCACCCGAATGCAGAGAGAAGGACATGAGTAACGTTGGAGCTAGAGACATTGGCTTCGCCTCAGCCAGCAAAGCCACCCACGGAGGGAACCCAGGCTGGCCCCTAGCCACAAAATCTTGTAGGAGTCAAGCTGAGGGAGACAGATACCAGGTTAAGACCTACCTCCCACCATCCCACTCCAAGAAAATCTTAGTCTTGGGATTCCTATGTTGTACAAACCCCTGAAACACAGGCCCTACCTGACCACACCACCATCGGGGCAGAACTCTAAGCTTATATGACAAGTATAGAGTCCTAGCCTGAGATTCTGATTTAGCAGATCTGCAATGAGGCCTGGGAGTCTGGCTCCTGAACAAGCACCCGTGTTTCTAGAAACAAGTGAGGACCATAACCCCAGAAGCATCAACTGTCCTGAGACACTAGTTCTCTGAGCACCTAGCTGGTCACTCTGTGGCAGGCCACTCACCCTATTGGCCGTGACAGCCAGGTTCTGGAGGTTCTGCAGGAGGCCGATGTCAGCAGGAAGGAAGGTCAGGTTGTTGTGGCTGAGGTCCAGGTAGCGCAGCTTGCGGCAGTAGAAGAGCTGGGTAGGAATCTTCTCGATCTTGTTGCGATTCAGGTAGAGGCGCTCGAGGTTGGTGAGGTTGCCGATCTGGATGGGGATGTAGGCAATGTGGTTGTACCACAGCTTAAGGCAGGTGAGGCGGTGCAGATGCTGGAAGCTAATGATCTCCTCAATGGTCTTGAGGTTGTTGTCCTTTAGGTCAATCTCCTGCAGGTTGTGGAGGCTGAAGATGGAGTGAGGGATGCGCTCCAGGTCACAGCGGATCAGTTCCAGCTCCGTCAGATTCACCATCTTCTTGAGGCTGTTGAGGACAATGAGCTTGGTGCCCTCGTTGTTGATGGAAAGCTTCTGCAGGTGCACTCCCACATCCGTGACCACCTGTGGTAGCTTGCTCAGGTTGCTTTTGAGCCGCAGCACCTTGAGGCGCTTGAGCTCCCGAAGCCCATCAATGACAATGTAGCGGTTGTTCTCTGCACTCAGGTTGCCTGTCAAGTGCAGCTCCTCCAGTGTCTTCAGGCTGTAGATCCACAGTGGGATCTCCTTGATGTCGGTGAACTTGATGTGCAGTGCCCGGAGGTTCTCACGCAGGAAGGCCAGAGCAGGAGCCTCGATCTTGGCTGCTGTGTGGTACAGCCACAGTTCCTTAAGGCCTGTGAGCTGGGCAATGCTGGGTGGGATGGTCACATCAGGGATCAGTTCCAGCTTCAGGACCTCTAGCTCAACCAGGTCAAACACGGTGTCAGGGATTCCACTGAGCATGAACAGGTGTAGCTCCAGCTTGTCCTGGGCGTTTTTGGTGAGCCGCTGGCGCAGCTTCTCCAGCGTCCACTCGTTGTTGAGGTTAAGCTGCCGCAGCTTGTTCTCGCTCACTTCAGACAGGAAGACAGCAAAGCGCTTTGAGTAGAGCGGGTCATATTGGTCAATGAGGTGCAGCATGAAGGCGAAGTCGTTCTTGACATCTGGGATGTCGCTGTAGCTGCTCTCCTCTCGAATGGACTCAAACGAGTACTTCTTGAGGGAGCGCCGCAACATCCACCACAGTGTGTACATGCAGATGAGACCGTAGAAGATGACCAGGCTGATGTAGAAGGATGCCAAGATCTTGAAGAGTGTGGCCAGAGGGTGGGCACACCGGTAGGTGCGGTAACCGGTCAGGCTCTCAATGTCCACAGTACAGTCCACATCGAACTTGATATTGTGCACATAGTAGACAGTGTAGCAGATGATGAGGATGAACTTGATCACCTTGATGATGGTCTGCCGCATATAGAGGCGGTATACAATGTCCCCCTCCTCCACGTGGGTCCGAAACTTCTTTACCTTCTCAAACAGTGCCTTTGCCTGCTCCCCTTCCTTCTTGTCCAGCACTCCTGTCTCTGATCGATCCACGATGCCCTGCTCAATCCGTGACTTGGTCCGCTGCAGCATGGGCACAGTGGCCTCCACATCCTCACTGACTGTGGATGACTTCTTGTCCATGGAGCCATTCATCTTGCTGAATGCAGGCTTGGGGTCACTCTCCTCCACCACCGTCTCTGACAGGGCCCTTGTGGTCCACGGCGAATCAAAGCACTTTAGCAGGATAGACACAAAGTGCTCCAACTTTGAACTGGTGCGTGGAAACTTAAACCAGAAGTTGCTACAGGCCAGGAAGATGAGGGTGTGTAGGAGCACGAGGTAGGGGAAGTACTTGGCAAACCAGTGTAGGCGGTTCTCATAGCACACAGCATCCACGTAGTTGTACTGGTGGCGGTCTAAGTCGTACTTGATCCCTGTGGGGCCTGTGTCGGCAGTCGGTGCCACTGTAGAGTTGGGGTAAGTGGGCTCCGCCCAGCCTCGAAAGGAGTCGTTGCAGGAGTCTTTGGTGACCCACTTACAAGGTAGGCAGATCATTTTATCCTGGGTGACTTGCAGCGTCCCCCCAAAGACAGCAATCATCAGCATGACGATGGAGATGTAGTCAGTGAACACATCCCACCATGGCTTCAGGATCCGGTAAGCTGGCTGCGTGTCCGCAAAGTAGCGGAGCTCCGTCACCGGGATCATGGTTTAACCTGAAAGGGACCCGTAAGGAGTTAGCACAAGGCAGAGTCACGATTCTGAACCCCAGGGAGGAAGGAGGAATATAAATAGTCCTCTATTGGAGCTCAGTGGTGGTTGCACACATCTTTAATCCCAGCATTTGAGAAGCAGAGGTAGGAGGATCTCTGAGTTCAAGGCCAGCCTGGTCTACAAAGCAAGTTCTAGGACAGCCAGGGCTACACAGAGAAATCCTGTCAAAACAGAACAAACCAGGGTTGGAGAGATGGTTCAGTGGCTGAGAGCACTGGCTGTTCTTCCAGAGGACCTGAGTTCAATTTCCTGCACCCACATGGTGGCTCACAGCCATCTGTAATGAGATCTGGCGCCCTCTTCTGGTCTGAAGGTATACATGCAGACAGAACCCTGTATACATAATAAATAAATAAATCTTTAAAAAAAATGATCTGGAGGGATTTCTGCAGTGAGGACAGCAGAGGAAGCTTACCAAGAACTCATTCATTTGTGCATGTGGAGCGGGTGATGGAGGAGGCTGTTTTCTTGTTTTTCAAGACAGGGTTTCTCTGTGTTACGTCTTGGCTGTCCTGTAGACCACTCGGATCAGTACTGTGATTTAAGGCATGTGCCATGGCCACCACCTACCCAACTGTAGCCAGCATTCTTACCTACTCCAACCCACAAGAACTCAGTCTTGTAAAACAAACCTTGAAGCTTAAAAATCTGTAAATGTAGCCAGGTGTGATGGTATATATCCTTAATTCCAAAGCAGGCAGATCTCTGTGAGTGAGGCCAGCCTGGTCTACATAGTGAGTCCTAGGCCAGCAAGGGCTACACAGTGGGACTGTCTTGAAACAAAAGAACCAAGACATATCTACAAGTTTGTACACAGCAGGTGTAGACAGGATTGTGTGGACAGACAGTAGGTCTAGTGAGGGACTCTGGAGGGGGCATCAGCGTGGGAAGTTGTAACTTCCTGTGGATATTCTGTGGTGTGGGGAAGGGAGCTGTAAACAGCAGGTGAAAGGAGGTCTCCCTGAGAGCTCCATCCAGTCAGATCCAGGCAGCCTGAGACTCCAACAATGGTTTCTCTGACTCAAGTGGTTAGTCTGTCGGGAAATGCTGGACCAGAAGCTGCTTTAGGGAGACCCAGCCTGTGCCACAAACATGGCTGGAAGGGAAGTCCTTGGCAAGGAGGCTGATCTTACTCTGGTCTACAAAACTGTAATGAGCGGGACAAAGGAAGTATCTACCCCTGGAAGTTCACTAGGGGGCATCAGAAAAAATATAAAAAGCACAAGATGGGAAGAAAAGGCCCTGCTCTCTCGGCTACCGAGACCTTACTCAGTGCACACACTGACTGATAACTCCCCTGACTTCTGGTTTGGATTTGTGTGAGACATTGTCTTATGTTGGCCTCAGGCTCACCCAGTATATAGCCAATGGTGACCTTGAATTTCTACTCCCTAAGCCACCACACCCAGGGTATGAGTTGTAAAGGACCAAACCCACAACTTCCTGCATGCTATTCAAGAGCTATACCACCACCCGCATTTTAAAAAAGTAAAACTGCTTTTACAATCAGCACTCCTCCTGTTCACAAATGATAAAGAAGCTGAGAGGGAAATCAGAGAAACATCACCTTTCACCATAGCCACAAACAACATAAAATATCTCAGAGTAACACTAACCAAAGAAGTGAAAGGCCTATTTGACAAGAACTTTTAAGTCTTTGAAGAAAGAAACCAAAGAAGATACCAGAAAATGGAAAGATCTCCCATGCTCTTGGATAGGTAGGATCAACATAAGAAAAATGGCAATCCTACCAAAAGCAATCTATAGATTCTATGAATCCTCATCAAAATCCCAACACAATTCTTCATAGACCTCAAAAGAACAATAATCAACTTCATATGGAAAAACAAAAACCCCAGGATAGCCAAAACAATCCTGTACAATAAAGGAGCTTCCGGAGGCATCACCATCCCTGACATCAAGCTCTATTACAGAGCTACAGTAATGAAAACAGCTTGGTATTGGCATAAAAACAGAGACATTGACCAATGGAATCGAATTGAAGACGCAGATATTAATACACACACCTATGAACCCCTGATTTTTGACAAAGAAGCTAAAATTATACAATGGAAAAAAGAAAGTATCTTCAACAAATGGTGCTGGCATAACTAGATGTTAAATATTTATTTATTTATTATGTATACAATATTCTGTCTTGTGTGTATGTCTGCAGGCCAGAAGAGAGCACCAGACGTCATTACAGATGGTTGTGAGCCACCATGTGGTTGCTGGGAATTGAACTCAGGACCTTTGGAAGAGCAGGCAATGCTCTTAACCGCTGAGCCATCTCTCCAGCCCCATAACTAGATGTTAACATGTAGAAGAATGAAAGTAGATTCATATCTATCCCCATGCACAAAAACTCAAGTCCAAATGGATTAAAGACCTCAATATAAATCCGATTACACTGAACCTGATAGAAGAGAAAGTGGGAAGTAGCCTGCAATGAATGGGCACGGGAGACCACTTCCTAAATATAACCCCAGTAGCACAGACACTGAGAGCAATAATAAATAAACGGGACCTCCTGAAACTGAGAAGCTTCTGCAAAGCAAAGGACACAGTCAATAAGACAAAAAGGCAGCCTACCGAATGGGAAAAGATCTTCACAAACCCCACATCAAACAAAGGACTGATCTTCAAAATATATAAAGCACTCAAGAAATTAGACATTAAAATTCTAAACAACCCAATTAAAAAATGGGGTCTAGAACTAAACAGAGAATTCTCAACAGAAGAATCTCAAATGACCAAAAGATACTTAAGGAAATGTTCAACATTCACAGCCATCAGGGCAATGCAAATAAAAAGCAACTCTGAGATACCATCTTACACCTGTCAGAATGGCTAAAATCAAAAGCACCAATGAAAGCTTATGCATTCATCCATTGCTGGTTGGATGCAAACTTGTACAACCACTTTGGAAATCAGTATGGTGGTTTCTCAGAAAATTGGGAATCAACCTACCTCAGGATCCAGTAATACAATTCTTGGGCATTTACCCAAAATTGCTCAATCATACTACAAAAGCATTTGTTCAAGTATGTTCATAGCATATGTAATAGCCAAAACCTAGAAACAACCTAAATGCCCCTCAACTGAAGAATGGATAAAGAAAATGTGGCACATTTACACATTAGAGCACTACTCAGGGGTAAAAAAAAATGACATCTTGAATTTTGCACACAAATGGATAGAATTAGAAAACATTATCCTGAGTGAAGTAACCCATACCCAAAAAGATGAACATGGTATGCACTCACTCATATAAACAAAGGACATTGAGCCTATATATAGCTCATGATCCTAGAGAAGCTAATTAGGTGAAGCCAAAGAAAAACATATATAGATCCACCTGGGAATTGGAAACAGTCAAGATCGCCTGATAAAATTGGGAGCATACGGGTGGGGGGGAGAAGGGAGGATGGAAAGGAAAGAGAAGGGGAGAAGGGGAGGGTTGAGGAAAACTTGAGGGAATGGGATAGTCGAGATGGAGGAAAAACAGAGATGAGAGCAAGGAAAGAGGTATCTTGAGGAAGCCATTATAGGGTTAGCAGAAACTTGGCTCTAGAGAAAGTCCCAGGAATCCACAAGGATGACCCCAGCTAAGATCCTAAGCAATAGAGGAGAGGGTGCTCTAACTGGCCTTGCCCTGTAGTCAGACTGATGAATATCTTAAATGTCACCATTGAACCTTCCAGCAACTGATGAAAACAGAGGCAGAAACTCACATCAGAGACTGGACTGAGCTTCCAAAGTCCAGTTGAAGAGTGAGAGGAGGGAAAATATGAGCAAAGAGGTCAAGACCATGATGGGGACACCCAATGAAACAGTTTACCTGAGCTTTGGGAGCTCACCAACTCTAGCTAGACTGGGAAGGTACAAGCATAGGACCAAACTAGTCCCTCTGAGTCTGGGTTGCATGTCTGGGGCAGACTGAGAGGCCACTGGCAGTGGCACCAGGATTTATCCCTACTGCTTGTACTGGCTTTTTGGGAACCTGTTCTCTTTGGATGTATACCTAGCTCAGCCTAGATGTAGTAGGGAGGGTCTTGGACCTTCCACAAAGCAATGTGCCTTACCCTCTCTGAGGATTGGATGGGGGTGGTGTGGGAGGGTGTGTGGAGGGAATGGGAAGAGGGAAGGAGTGGGAACTTGGATTGGTATTTTTTTTT